TGGTGTTGCTTGTGGTGAAACAAAATTAGAGGGATTGTGGTGATGAATAAAATTATAAATGGTAATGAATAATGGACAGATACATCATACCATAGGCGGAAATCGGACCCATGGCTGTTGAGTTTTCACTTCTCATGCGAAGCCTACAAAACGCAACTTTTGAATCAGCTGTGAGGGTAGAAAAATTATTTGTTTTCTTTCCATAGATCCTTCGCAGGACTAATATTTCAAAAGAATGTATTTTCATGCAATCAGAACAAAGTTGATGCCTGTTAAGTGAACGTTTAACTATAGTTTTTGGAGATTTGAACGCCTGAGTAGGCAACAAACTCAGATTTTTAGTCGATGCATCATCACATCCTAGAAAGACAGTAAACTAAACATCTTCTCAAAAATTAAATCATTGGCTTCTAGGATTAACAGTGATAAGTTTAATGTTTATTAAAATCTTCAGCTCGATCACGAAATCTAGCACAGAGAAAACTCAGGTACTAGCGTCATTTCCAATCTTTTTTACGCTGTTTTAACTTTACCCGGTCTCATGCTACAGGGCCTTAACTCTCGGAATGACGAGAGTTATCTAACTGATATGTAAACGTGCTATATAGGTAAATAAACATCTGATAAATGTAATAAATTATTTGTACGAAGATACAGCAGTGCAGATTAAAGTTTAAGATAATATATCGGTCTTTTCCAACGGTGTAGTCTCTCTAACAGTCATTGAGAAGTTAATGGCCACTTAGCTGGTCAGGTAGTTCTTTTATACAAAAATAAAGTTTGGACTTGAGGTTCTCACAGGGGTGAGTACGAAGACAGCCATCTTAGAAGGTTGGTTCATTGCAGTGTTTAGAAGTGCCCACCATGGGATCTTGAACCAGATGTATCCAGTTTGCACACACTCCTACCTTACTTCTTTAAGATACGGCTTTTTATTTGTTTTAAATCTGTTTGGTGCTTGGTGTGTTTATTACTGCATATGCCTGTGGCCCTATTAAGCAACTAACTTGAGTTTTATCACTTTGATTCATGTGCATAAGTTATATATAGACAGACCTTTTTTCCCGATTTGTTGGTGTTTTGGTTTCTTCGACGAAATCAGTGATCAGAGCTCTCGAAATATTTTTATGAGAACTTTTTGAAACCCCTCAGAGGCCCACATCAGTGGTTACGGGGTCTGGCACCCCCGGGTTACCCGAGCTACGAGTGCCTGGGGGTATATCTGGGCCATCCTACCTCGGGGAGGGGGGGCTGTAAATACGGAGGTCTGGTCCTCCAGGTTGGGTGTGGGGCTGACAACTCCACCCTGTAAAAAGTAACTTGTTATGAAATCAGATGATGCAACTGCCGGATGGACTCATTCACGGCGGACTGACAAATAGATTGTCTGTGAATGAGGAAGAATAGAAGAAGCTTCTGAGGAAGGCTAGGGCCCACGCGGGGGCTGTAGAACCGATGATGATGAACTTTTTGAAGATATTTGGTTAAATTTCTGCACCTTTGACGACTGATTGATTCACTTACTAAACTTTCTGATCTAAAAACGCTGACCGATAATTTGTTCAGCCAACATAGCGGCCGTGCAAACTTGTTATCGGAGGAACAGATACTAATGGCAATAATTATAGTTCGGGGATTGGTAATTACTCGTAGTTTTACACGCGGGTTGGATGAGAGGCTGTTTCGAAATAATTCTGCAATTAAAAACTTTTAGATTCGTAGTGACTTGTCAATGCTTCATACGTGATGCATAAAAACACATAGGGGTGAAATTATTAATTCAGACACGATACTCCGAACTCTTGAGGTATTAATAACACACAGTATTCTGAGTCTCGAGTGCGTCTCACTCGGCAATGCCCAGTTGTTAGTGCAGTAAGTGAAAATAGTAAATTCATGTTTTGCAAACCCCGGAACTCGAATATATTAAATATCTCTACATTGTTGTTATTTTTATTTTTACTAATATTAATTAAATGGAATAGTCAATCTTGAGAAACTAATAGTCGCTTATCTGGTCAAGAAATTCGCCGTATTCCTTGTTTATTAGCTACGTTGTCCACAAGCGTACATCGGCGAACCCTGTCTTGAGTCATATAAATCCAGTTCATTTTATTTTCAAACCTTATTATGTGATGTTAATTTTAATATCAACCTTTCATCTATTCTTGTGTCCCCCAAGTAGATTAATTTTATAGGATTTGAGGTTTTCACGATGGTG